TTTTGCCACCCAAAATGGAGGGCATTTTTTGGTAGCAAATTCCGGATGGAATAATCAGGAATTGGGTGATAATTTGTGAACCCCGCCTGCCACATGGGCGCCACGTCCTCAAAATCATGTCCAAATCCCGATATGTAAACGACAGATATGACAGGACTAATTTCTTATCATGTCATGTCCCCCAAAGTAAACGAGGACAAAATTGACAATGGACAAGTTAGCGGACCAAAATTAGTTTTTGCCTCAAATAAGCTATAAGCCAACTTATGCTGCTTAATAAACACACTCTAAACATAAACGAGTTTGCGAATAAGATACTCGACTCGACTCGAAGAATGCTTTGAAATTTGGATCCTTCTTGATCACGTCACAATGCAAGAGCCTTAAAAAAAGATATAACAATATATGTCTTCTTAATATTTCCATCTCTTCTTAAACCGACACATTTTTTTCTCCAGCCAATGGTTAATCAGTTATAATAACTTACTAATACAACGCTCGTGTATTACACGGGTGCTTGTTAATAAATTTTTCCTTAAAATTTAAAATTAATGAGATAAAGTAGGTGAAATTTAAATAACTTTATAAAAATATATATTAGTATATATTTAGTATGACACTTTTTATTTGTGTGACTTACTTGTGTTATATTGTAATAATTTATTTATTTTATATATACAATATAGATGTCAAATTAAAGATTATGAAAAGATGATTAATTTGATATATTATATATGTAAAACCAATAAGAAATACAAAAGTTATCAATTTTTAAAATACATTTTTAATTCAATAGCTAATTGAAGGAAACAAATCAAAAGTCGGGGATATAGTAGTCATTCTGAAATTATATAATATATATATAGGGGTAGACATGGCCATTTGCCGGGCCGGGTCGAAATCCGGCCCGGCCCGTCGGGTCGGCGGGTTAGCATATATTGAACCGGGCCCGGCCCGCTGGTAAGTAAGGGCCGGTTCACTGAACCGGCCCTAACCCGCCGGGTCAAAAACCCGGCGGGTTGAGCCGGGTTCGGGCCGGGCCCGCCGGGTTTACGGGTTTTTAATTTTTTTTTTTATTTTAATGTATATTAATGTTTATTTGAATAAATAGTTTGTATATACTTAAAAAATAAGTGTAAAGAAAAAAGTTATTAATGGAATGGACTTGAGCTTAGTTAACAGTTATTAAGTTCGAATATCGTGTACGATGAAAAATTTTGATGCCAAAAAATTATACTCGAACTTAATAATGTTAAATAAGGTGCCTACGTATCCCTTTATTTGGGAATCAAAGTCCACGTAGTTCTTCTAAATCACATACCTTGGCTGCATACCTTTAATACTCGTATTCGTCTTCAACGTCCCCCCCGGTTCCACTTGTCGACGACGTAAAATCAGATGCATCGTCGTTGTCGTCATCCTCCTCATTCGAAGTGAGCATAGCAGTTTGCATCCTTCGTTCGGCCTTCTTCCAATCACTCAGTAACATTTGTGCTTGAAGATTATCAGGCGTCATCCTCGACCGTCGTGGATCTAGCATGTAGCCGCCCTCACTGAATGCTTGCTCAACCGCGACTGTAGATGCTAGGACAGCAAAGATCTCCTTGGCCATAATGCATGGAATAGGAAAAATTCCTTCCATTCTTGACCACCAATCTAACACATCGAAATTGAGTGGCGGTTGAGGTGGACGTGCAATCGTAACGGCTAAATTCGACGTAAGGTAGTGATCCAGCTCATAGTATCCAGTCCCCTGCACCCTTTGACCGCCCGAATTTTTTGTAGGGATTTAATGAATCCCAAAACACTTTGAAGTTTCCGTAGTTTGTATTGCCGCTTTGCCCTCCGTATGAAGATGAAGACCCGCTGCCGCTTGGCGCCGCTGCTACGAACAAATGTGCTGGGAGACTCTCCATGTGCGATCGCTGTTTCCCTGAACATGTCATACAACGAATTTTTTGCTTGCTCGACGAGCTGCGGTATGTTAGGTTTGTCCCTGTAAGACGGGACCCCACTCGGCAGTGGCAATTGATACATATAATCATAGTACATATTAAGTTGATTTAACAAACCTTGCTCACGAACTGTAGGATCTAACAGACATGCAATTAAAAATGTATCGGGAATATAATAATAATATTTTAGCCATTTTTGTAACATATCTTCTACTAGACCAGAATATTTAAAAGGTTCTAAGTCATAAATATCTTTAAAACCCCACATTATAGCTATACATTGACTGACCACAAGTTGAGCAGTAGGATAGTAAACACAAGAAAGAATATTAGTAGCGTTTTGAAATGTTTCTAAAAAATTTGTAAGTTGTGAACAGTTTGCCCAATCATTCGCCGAAAGTCGAACATCACAATCCCTACGGTTTGGATCCTTAAAAAAATCCTGTAAATGCTCGGCATAATCAGCGGTGACATTCAACATTTTAAATGTTGAATTCCACCGGGTAGGCACGTCTGGCTGGAAATTTTTACGTTTAATTCCAACACTCTTACAAAATCGTCCCCATGCTTTCATTTCCTGGGGACGTTTATGCAAATAATTGACGGCCTCCCTTATTGGCGTCAGAGAATCCTTAAAAGCATGATAACCAGCTTGACCACACAAATTTAAAACATGACATATACAACGAATATGAAAAAATCTACCCCCACAGATTGGTGTACAAACATCATTTAATTCACGTATAGATGCAGTATTTGCAGTCGCATTATCAAATGAAATTGAAAATACTTTTTTACCAATACTATATTTATCTAAGATTTTTGAAATTAAACGAGCAATATTAGAAGCAGTGTGTCGTTCATGAAATGCAACATAAGAGATTAAACGTTTTTGTAAAGTCCAACTATCATCAACCCAATGACAAGTAATCCCTAAATAAAAATTATTTATCCAATGAGCGGACCATATATCAGCACAAATGGATACTCTATGATTTAAAGATTTAAAATTTTCTTTTAAAATCAGTTTCTTCTCACTCACGATTTTTCGAATATCGCGAGTAAGGGTGGTACGAGAAACTCGGTTAGCAGACGGATTTAAAGCCATTTGAGCAAAATTTTCATATAAATTACTATCACCAAAACTATAAGGAAGAGACGAAGCAGAAACAAATTCAGCTAAATGACGTCTATGATTTTCATGAGAGTAATGAAATAAAGACGTACCTGCACCTTGAGTGGCTGAGGCGGATGCTCCGCTGCTACTTGGGAATTGCGTCTGTGCCGTGTCGATTCCCATTACGGTCGGATGAACATTCTTCAAATGTCGGGTCAACGTCCCGTACCCGTCGCCTTTTTTGAACTGATACTTCGTCTTCGAATTGGCCGGACAATAGTTGCAAATAGCCAGAAAATAAGGATCACCTCCTTTCTTTTCATTTGGAGCCTTCGTGTAATGTCGGTCGAACATGACGGAATCCCGAGTTTTGACTTTACCGCCCCCGACAACTCGGACCGGCTGTGTGGGTTGTTGTGGCTGCTCATCCGGAGGAGTACTTCCAAATAGATCGTCGAGATGGTCCTCGTACGGCTGCTCTTGGTCCACCTCGTGTACACCCGTTGCCGGTTGGACTGAGGGTGAAGGCTGAACGACATCGAACATTCGATCGATTGTGGCGGCATCTATATCGTCGGTCACGCCCGGGACATCGACATGTATCGTTGGACTCGCAAATGAGGGCAATGGAGGTGTCGAAGACAATGTGCCTTGCCGTTGCCGCTTTTGCCCGGAGGCCCCGGACTTCGAACCACGGCCACGACCAAGAAAGCTCGACATTTTGAATTTAAAAAATAAGTAGATATATAATTTTTTTTTTTAATTAAAGAGAGATTAGGGAGATGAAGAGAGATTAGGGAGAGAAAGAGAGATTAGGTAAAATTTATATTAAGTAGATATATAATTTTTTTTTAATTAAAGAGAGATTAGGGAGAGATTGAGAGAGAGTGTGGGAGAGAGAGATGAAGACAGAGTGAGGTGTGTGGAGT